CCAGCCAGAGGACCCGTGGCCAGAGGACCCGTGGGAGGTGAGAGAACGGCTTCTTGTGTACCAGCCAGAGGACCCGTGGGAGGTGAGAGAACGGCTTTTTCGATGCTTCCGAGGCGTTTCCGTGACAGCCGGCGGCTTGAAGCGTTGCTGAAGGGTCGAAAGCGGAAGATGCTTCCGAGGCGTTTCCGTGACAGCCGGCGGCTTGAAGCGAAGACAGGCCGTGCTCGACGCTGCTTCAAGACAAAATAATTTCATTTCAACCTTTTTTTTTTAGAAACCAACTTTTTTTGGAGATAATAAACCATGTTGCCACAGTGTACATGTGTCAAAGTATGATAATCAACTCTGGGTCTTGGTCCTTCTGGCTCAAGCAAAAGCTACCCAGCTGGAGCGCAAGTTGGCCAGAGATGGCCCCAGAGCAACGGGGGTCCTCCAGGTCAACCTTGCGACCAAGATATATCTGGGTGCCCAAATTTGGCTCGGTGCCAGAAGAGTCAGAGCAAGACCAGAATCCTACCCAAACTTGGGCGGATCCCTGGTTGACTGATCGTCCTACCCAATCCTGGGCGGACTCATGTCCCTGGCCGGATTCAAGCGATTATCCTAGCCAGGAAAATAACCAAGCGGGGTCTAGCCAAGATGCGCCAGGGACTGAGGCTCCGCCATGGTCAGGCCCAGGGCCAGAGCCAAGCAAGTCGAATCACAACGATTCAGTTTCAATGTTTCAATGTTTCATGTTTCTTCCCAAGCCTCCTGGAGTCCAATTGGGCGGCCACAAATGCAGGTTTAAGGCGGTTGCGCGCGGTGTCGGACTCTGGCAGGGCTTGTCCTCAACGAGGAGAGGACCGAATGGATTTTCAAGCCATAGATTTCACTTTTCCTTCTCAGATCCCAAGGCAGCTGAAAACGGATTGCAACCCCTATTCAGTTTCAATGTTTCATGCGACGAATGGTTGTTCATCATAAAAGTACTTTAGTTTCAGAGCAATTATTGTTTGACTTGTCATGACATTCACACAATCATATGATTGAAATCGGAGACATGCATCATCATGGCACCATGATGGCGCAAATTCGAACAAGCCACACTAGGGTCTAAGAAGACCTTGAACAGCTCATTGGGAGCATTGTGGAGGACATAACCATAATTGGCAGCTCAGACGAGGATGGCTCCGATATTGAGATGATGGAGGCGACAAAAAGCTCACCTCCGCGACCACCAAGGCCTGGTTCCGGGCACATAATGATGCAGTGATGTGGATGATATATCATTTTGTGGGAAACGGTTAGGGTGATAAATCTATTTTACAAGACCTTCAAGTATATTCAAAAGCGCAAGTTTTGGGACACTGAATCATTTCATATCAAAGCCGACTCATCCGCTAGGCAGCTGCAAATATCCGTATCGGATCCAGGGCCTGCTCCTTGGGAAGGCGCCTTGCAAGCCAGTTCAAGTTTGTGTGACTTGGTCATCGACAAAATTGAAGAAGAAGGCGCCAACCAGATTCAGTGCCTTCCCCACCACTTCATGGAGTTTTATTCACCTCCACGGGTGGCACTGCCGCTACGAAGAACTGGCTTCTTCGCGCGGTACAGTTTTGATTTGATGACTGGCTACGATTTCTTGAAGTTTGAAGATCGCGCCAGAGCACTGAGATTGTATGAGGCGCATGCACCTTTTTTCGTCATGCTATCTCCGCCATGCACTATGTTCAGCAAAATGCAAAACCTAAATTTGAAAAAATGCAGCCGCAGATTCGCAAACAGAGGTTTGCAGTTGCCAACTGCATGCTGGATTTTGCCATGCATATTGCCGATCGGCAGCTGAGAGGCAACCGTTTCTTCTGTCATGAACATCCACCGGGCGCATCCAGTTGGCGCAGAGCATCAATAGCCGAACTTGCAAACAAACCCAATGTGTTCCTGGTTTCTTTTGACCAGTGTCGAACTGGTCTGAGGACTCCTTCCGGCTTGAAACCTATCAAAAAAGGACGGTTCTGATGACCAACAGCCGGGAGATCCACAACATCTTTTCTCCCCTCCAGTGCAATTGCACCGAGGAGCACGCAGTGATCCAAGGCTCCGAATCGGGTCTTCAACTCTCTTCATGGTGCCAAGCGTATTCCCCGGAATTGGTGGACCACCTGGCAGACGCTGTGCGGTTGGAGTGGGCCCAGCAGTCTGGGACTGCCGCCCTGACTCCAGGATAAGCTCATCAAGCTGAGGATGGTTGCAAGCGGCCATTTGAATCAAGCCCACTTGCGCATAGTGATGGGTGGCGGCTGAGTAGTATGATTGGGAACATATTGAATATGGACATGACTTGGCACTCACGGGCGGAAAAAAAAGACCATGGCATCGAACCGCGCCAGCACCAGACTATCAAACAAGTCACCATCAGACCCTCAGAAACCATGATTTGAGTCCATTTCGCGACGATCTAGGGGGGTCACTTTTCGACCCCCCCCAGTTAGTCACGTTTCGTTTGAAACGCGACGATCTCTTGATCTAGGTTATACAAACGCGACGATCTAAGGTTTCATTTTTCGACCCCCCCCAGTTAGTCACGATCCAGGGTTTGGGCTGGGAGTTAGTCACGTTTCGTTTGAAACGCGACGATCTGGGGGGGTCACTTTTCGACCCCCCCAGTTAGTCGCAAAATGGGTTTTTAACGTTGAGTTAGAATTCTGGTGGCTTTCCCAAAGCTTGGGCTCGGTAAGGAGACCGGGTAGTCAAGAAGCATGGCATGGTGTCAGGCAAGCCAACAGAAAAAAGTCCAATAGTAACAAGTTAGGCTAGGCACATTCCCCGGCAGGGTTGGTCGCCCAGACGCCATGGATGTGAAGGAAGAGATGAAAGAGGACCCAGAGAATAACAAGAAATCAGAGCCCGAGGCTCCAGAGGACGTGGCCATGAAACCATCTACTATCCTCCGGACATCAGGCCCCTCACCCACCTGCAGCATCAATGGCAATCACTGAAGCTAACTTCAAGGAAGTCGCTTGGACAGCCATGAACTTCCACCTCGAGGCTTGTGGAGGTCCAGTGCAATATGCGCGAACTGGGCAGCCCAGGAAACTTGAAATGGAAAGATTTCGCTGAGCAGCTTCAGGTGGCCTTTCCCAGGCGGACCGATTTGTCCTACCTGGAGAGCCTTGAGTTGCCTCGGGGCCACGACCCGAGTGAGACGTTTCGGGTGTCTTTGTGGCAACTGGGCTTTGTGGAGTGCTGCAGCTCCAAGCCTATGACTTTTAGGGTCACGGCAGCGGCCCTGGCAGACGAGTATTTAACGAACACTTGTCTGACTGCACAGGAGCCTTTGCTTCTGTATCAGCAGCCCCTTGACCTGCCCTCGGAGTTCAAAAACTCTGAGGAGCTTGAGGCGGGGGGCGTTGTTTTGGACCCACTAGCTGAAAGGGGCTGCTCGTGCTACCAGCATGCTGATGCTGGCGCACGTTATTTTGAATGAGTCGAAAGTCGATGTGCAGCTTTTGAATCCAAGCTTGCACCAATCCTTGCTAGCAGTGTATTGCCGACTTGGCACTGCCGCAAGTGATTCAGCAACCATCGCCATGGAGAACGCACGGTTGTCCGCTCGCGGAGTAATCCGTAAGGCCCATGACGTCATCACATGGGCGGGCAAGCTGCATACCCTTAAATTGCAAGGACTGCAGCCAGCCGAAATCATCAAAAAATACAACGAAAGTGCCACGAAGGACTCGGCCATCCAGGGGGCCAAAAGGATGGGCCTGGTGGCACTCTTGGATTTACCCGAGCAGTGCCTATCCTTGTTGCTACAGCACGTATCCGAATTTGGATTTGATGGCTGCGCATTCAATGAGACCGCTTTTAGCAACAAGAAGCCCATGCGTGGCTTTCAGCCGCGTGCAAACAGCGACCGAGCATGGCAGAAAAGGCTAGCGGCAACATCCGAAGGCTACGAATTGCTGGTCCGCTACGTGCATTGTTCACACGCGCGCAAACCCAGTGCCATTCGCTCCAAATTGGACACGGCTGCAATTACCGAGGCAACGCAAATGAGTCAGCTCTTGATTTCATGTTTGCAGGAAATCCAAGACCAGCACGCTTTGCCCGGGGGAGCGAAAGACAAAATCCTACAAGACTTCGTGGATGGAGACAACAACCTGGAGCTGGAATTACAAGGCGCCATCTCAGAATTGAAAAAAATGGCAGCCTCCTGAGCTGACACCTTTCAGAGAGCTTATCGCTACTTGCATAGCCAACCGCGATGGCAAATTGGAAGCGCTGGGGAAAGGCCGCTGGGCAGCTTGAAAACAGGCTTTTGAAGTGCTATACTATCATCTTTGCAGCATGGCGTAGACATTTATGCAGTCTGGAAGGCCAAGCGCCTGGATCGTGACTCGGTGGTTCACTTTCAACGCCTAAGTCACAAATCAGCCAGGCACACTCGAGCCCGAGAGATCGCAGACTCAGTGATCTCAGAGGATCGTGGGCTCGGGTGGCAAACCTCCCTGAAGAAGTTCGAAAGTGTGGACGCCGCATCGCAATGTGGAACGAAGCCTGCAACTGGTTTTGCAAAGGAGAGCGGCGATCTGGATCCAGCACATGAGTCCAGACACCTACCTTCTTAAGTGGCCACCTCAGAATACCATGAGGCGCCAGTCAGGGCTACCTCGGATTGGAGGCGCCACATGACAGCCAGACCGAGGCCCACGGCAGGTGGAGGAAAAAAGTGGCTTAGCGCGGGGGCGGGTCAGGGACCTGGGAGGTTAAGTTTTTGTGTTCTCACAAAATTTAAATAGAAAAAAAAGTCGATTTTAAAAAAAAAAGTCGAAATGAAAAAATACACCTTCTTCACAGACTTATCTTACGGGTTCCGAAAGCAACGTTAGACATTCTGGGGGCGTACGCGGAGGACCTCTTTCGGGCGATTTTTGGTCTCGAATTAGATTGTGGAAAGCTGTGGCGGAGGAAATCACTCGGAACAGGTGTCTACCAGCCAGAGGACCCGTGGGAGGTGAGAGAACGGCTTCTTGTGCGCCAGCCAGAGGACCCGTGGCCAGAGGACCCGTGGGAGGTGAGAGAACGGCTTCTTGTGTACCAGCCAGAGGACCCGTGGGAGGTGAGAGAACGGCTTTTTCGATGCTTCCGAGGCGTTTCCGTGACAGCCGGCGGCTTGAAGCGTTGCTGAAGGGTCGAAAGCGGAAGATGCTTCCGAGGCGTTTCCGTGACAGCCGGCGGCTTGAAGCGAAGACAGGCCGTGCTCGACGCTGCTTCAAGACAAAATAATTTCATTTCAACCTTTTTTTTTTAGAAACCAACTTTTTTTGGAGATAATAAACCATGTTGCCACAGTGTACATGTGTCAAAGTATGATAATCAACTCTGGGTCTTGGTCCTTCTGGCTCAAGCAAAAGCTACCCAGCTGGAGCGCAAGTTGGCCAGAGATGGCCCCAGAGCAACGGGGGTCCTCCAGGTCAACCTTGCGACCAAGATATATCTGGGTGCCCAAATTTGGCTCGGTGCCAGAAGAGTCAGAGCAAGACCAGAATCCTACCCAAACTTGGGCGGATCCCTGGTTGACTGATCGTCCTACCCAATCCTGGGCGGACTCATGTCCCTGGCCGGATTCAAGCGATTATCCTAGCCAGGAAAATAACCAAGCGGGGTCTAGCCAAGATGCGCCAGGGACTGAGGCTCCGCCATGGTCAGGCCCAGGGCCAGAGCCAAGCAAGTCGAATCACAACGATTCAGTTTCAATGTTTCAATGTTTCATGTTTCTTCCCAAGCCTCCTGGAGTCCAATTGGGCGGCCACAAATGCAGGTTTAAGGCGGTTGCGCGCGGTGTCGGACTCTGGCAGGGCTTGTCCTCAACGAGGAGAGGACCGAATGGATTTTCAAGCCATAGATTTCACTTTTCCTTCTCAGATCCCAAGGCAGCTGAAAACGGATTGCAACCCCTATTCAGTTTCAATGTTTCATGCGACGAATGGTTGTTCATCATAAAAGTACTTTAGTTTCAGAGCAATTATTGTTTGACTTGTCATGACATTCACACAATCATATGATTGAAATCGGAGACATGCATCATCATGGCACCATGATGGCGCAAATTCGAACAAGCCACACTAGGGTCTAAGAAGACCTTGAACAGCTCATTGGGAGCATTGTGGAGGACATAACCATAATTGGCAGCTCAGACGAGGATGGCTCCGATATTGAGATGATGGAGGCGACAAAAAGCTCACCTCCGCGACCACCAAGGCCTGGTTCCGGGCACATAATGATGCAGTGATGTGGATGATATATCATTTTGTGGGAAACGGTTAGGGTGATAAATCTATTTTACAAGACCTTCAAGTATATTCAAAAGCGCAAGTTTTGGGACACTGAATCATTTCATATCAAAGCCGACTCATCCGCTAGGCAGCTGCAAATATCCGTATCGGATCCAGGGCCTGCTCCTTGGGAAGGCGCCTTGCAAGCCAGTTCAAGTTTGTGTGACTTGGTCATCGACAAAATTGAAGAAGAAGGCGCCAACCAGATTCAGTGCCTTCCCCACCACTTCATGGAGTTTTATTCACCTCCACGGGTGGCACTGCCGCTACGAAGAACTGGCTTCTTCGCGCGGTACAGTTTTGATTTGATGACTGGCTACGATTTCTTGAAGTTTGAAGATCGCGCCAGAGCACTGAGATTGTATGAGGCGCATGCACCTTTTTTCGTCATGCTATCTCCGCCATGCACTATGTTCAGCAAAATGCAAAACCTAAATTTGAAAAAATGCAGCCGCAGATTCGCAAACAGAGGTTTGCAGTTGCCAACTGCATGCTGGATTTTGCCATGCATATTGCCGATCGGCAGCTGAGAGGCAACCGTTTCTTCTGTCATGAACATCCACCGGGCGCATCCAGTTGGCGCAGAGCATCAATAGCCGAACTTGCAAACAAACCCAATGTGTTCCTGGTTTCTTTTGACCAGTGTCGAACTGGTCTGAGGACTCCTTCCGGCTTGAAACCTATCAAAAAAGGACGGTTCTGATGACCAACAGCCGGGAGATCCACAACATCTTTTCTCCCCTCCAGTGCAATTGCACCGAGGAGCACGCAGTGATCCAAGGCTCCGAATCGGGTCTTCAACTCTCTTCATGGTGCCAAGCGTATTCCCCGGAATTGGTGGACCACCTGGCAGACGCTGTGCGGTTGGAGTGGGCCCAGCAGTCTGGGACTGCCGCCCTGACTCCAGGATAAGCTCATCAAGCTGAGGATGGTTGCAAGCGGCCATTTGAATCAAGCCCACTTGCGCATAGTGATGGGTGGCGGCTGAGTAGTATGATTGGGAACATATTGAATATGGACATGACTTGGCACTCACGGGCGGAAAAAAA